CGGAATTTAGGGTGGGACATACCGAGAAGGGGTGGGAATATGTGGAGGATATAAGTTTTTGGGTAGGATATAGGAAAAAGAAGAAGGCAACGCAACTCAGAAATAAACGTGGGGGGAGCGGGAAAGTGTGGCTGGCCGCGCGGGCATGGCTGCCTGCGAGCGCGGCAGCGCCTCGAGCGCGTACTTGTAGATGGCGCGCGCGCGCTCCGCCTCCTTTGCTCGCTCCTCGAACTGCGCAAAGGCGAGGAAGAAGGCCTCGCCGTGATCGCGCTCGTCCATCTCCTGTGCGGCCGAGGGCAGCGCAATCAGAGGGAAACGTGCTCGCGAGGGAGTCTCGGTGCTCCGAGTGCGTCAGCCAGATGTCGGGCGATGTCGGCTGGTCACGGGCAAAGCCAGGCCTGCATTGCGGCCTCAAAGACAGCGCGCGAGTTGGCGGTCTGCCCCTGCTTCTCCTCAAACTTGGCCCACTTGACCCAGGCGCGCGGCAGGTTGTGGCACGCCACGTACCTGCGAGGCCACGCGCGGGGGGGGCGTGATCTCAACTGGCCTCGCTCGGCTGGCCAGCAGCCCGCCAGAGCCGATTTTACCGCGCCCGGCCGCGCAGCCGGCCGGCGCCGGGTGTGCGGCGCGTTGCTGGGGTGTGGTGGTGGTGGTGTGGGGAGAGGCAGCACGCGGCGCGCCGCTGGAAGACGGCGCGCGCGCGGTCGGGCTGATTGGCGCGCAGCTCGAGGCGGACGAAGGACGTCCAGGCGTGGTCCTCCGGCTCCCACTCTGTCCACCGGTCGAAGAGCGCGCGCGCACCCGCCACCTGCGGGCAGGGTGTAATGGCGGTGGTGAGGCGGTGCGTGGCAGCGCGGAAAGGGCGGGGCAGGAAATGGCACGGGAGGGCGGTGGGCGGGCGAGAGCTGGTCGTGGGAAGGAGGGGGGGGGGGGGGGGGGGGGCAGCGGGTTCGGTGACCTGGTGTACGCCACGGTCCCTCTGGGCTCCGTGGCGACGAAGGTCGCCCGGGACTGGCTCGCCAACGAGCTCTACGAGCCGTCCCGGCGCGGCAAAATAGGTTCGCCCATGGCAGCGTGCGGCTTGCCGCGCGTCGCTGCCGTCTTGCACGCGGCAGCACCAGCTCTGTCGCGCCCGCTGCCGCCGCCCTCGGCCAACACGGTCGCGCCGGGTCTACCCGGTGTCCCTCTCGCCGTCGCCAGCGAGCGCAGAACCGGAACCGCCGACGGAAGCGCCGACAAGTGTGTTACGTGCCGACAGCCCGCCCGAGGCACCTCACGGGCCACCAGCCGTCGCCGCCACCGCACTCACTGCCCTCGGGTCTGCCGCCCTTGTGCGAGCTGCATCGCTGACTCATTAAGCTGCGTGTGAGTCACTCTCCGCCCTCGGCGCGACTAGTCAGCAGTAGCGAGTGTGTGCGTCACTGCTAGAGCCGGCGAGGGCAGTCCCGAGGGCTCCTCGCAGCGACTCGAGCGGGTCCGAATTCACTCGGCGACCGGTAAAATAGCGACGGTGTCACTTTTCAAAGACGTACGTAACACGCGGGCCGCCTCCCCCACCGTGCGATTGCCTTCAGTGGCCGCCAGACGTCCGGACCGCTCGCTTCCGGTGTGCAGCAGGGATTGCTGGCGAATGCCGCAAGTGGCTTTGGTGCTCGCGAGCTGATGCGGCCGGCAGGGACCGAAAGATCGCCGACCTGATCACGGCTGCCGGCGCCTCGGCGCCGGCCGACGCCGTGTTCGGCGGCAGGTTCGCGACGGGCGAGGCGCCCCGCCCGACGACCTCCGCCTCCGAGGCGGACGAGGGCGACGGCGTCGGCGGCGATGGCGGGACCGGCGTCGACTTCGACCTGTTCGATGACAAGCCGGACCCCAACACCCCCATGGAGGACCTTTGAGTTCCTCCCCAGTCTCACCCCACCTAGTTCTGCTCCCCCCTCCCCCCATCCCTCTGCCTCCCATAGGGCAGGAAAGGATAGCACTAGCATATGCGCCTAGTGCGCACTGGGCCCACATAGATGTGACCCGCCCACTCGAGTGCGGCGCCCGCGGATGCTAGTGCTTGAGAAGGCACCAACAACGCGGCACGGCCCGTTTTGGCTGTCTGCGGAGATTCTGTCTTAGCACACACAGTGAGTCATTCGGAGTCATTCGATGGCCAGAGTGCGATTGTGTGTGTGCGGTAAGGTTAATGACTGCACTCCAAAAGTGCTCCAAGTTACGTTTTAGCACAGCACTCCAAGTGCTCCAAGTTTTAGCTTGGTAAATATTTTGGTCCAAAATGTGCTGGGGGCAAAGAAAGCCAAGGAAGCGAAGCCGCGAGGTCCGCGGGGGCCAGGCCGCCCGGGAGCGAGAGAGAGGAGGGACAGTTTGGGATGGCAACAGCACGAGTACCTCGCACTTCTTTGGTCGGGACGGGGTGGCGCCTGCGCGATCCCGCTTAGCCATCTCCTCTCTGCAGGTCGTGTGAGTGAGTCACACACACACACACACACACACACACACACACACACACACACACACACACACACACACACACACACACACTGACGGCAGGTCGAACCCGCTACGTGGCTGGGTTCACAGCGATTGTGGAAAATGACGGGCCCCCGAAAATGACGGGCCCGGGGGGGAAGAACACTTGACGGTCGCGGGCTTCCTTCTCGCGCCTCCGCACTGGCAGTATTGTAGCCCCTGCTGCAGCCTGGCCTGACCACAGGGCGAACAGAGGCGGTACTATCGTCCGGCGCTCGTCACCGAATCTGGGCCAACTTCGACCGCCGCCACAGCTCGCCACGAGCACGCAGCGACAAAATGTTGACTGTACGGAAGTTGAGGCTGCCGTGCGAGCCGGCAGCAGGCTGGCTCGGCGGCGTTTACTCCCGCGCAACTTTTGTGTGTGTACGTACGTTTAGCTTACTGGGAGAAAAGGTAGATGGTCTCTCTTGTGTGTATGTTGTAAGTTCGTTGCATAGCAGATCAAGGCACAGAGCTCACACAAATTCACAGTGGGAGGAAAGCGGCGAGTCGCAATTCCAGGGGTCGTTGTGGCGGGCCACCCTGTCCAGAGAGGCACAGGTGCCAATCTGGGGGCTTTCGGACGATGTTCTATGAGCCCTGGCCGCCTCCCGACCACCACACAGCGGAAGCCTTAGCGCGCGCAATCCTCCGTGCGGGAAGGTCCGCCTCGATTCAAGCGGTACGCAGGCTGGACACCCCCTATCGAAAGTCCAGTCTCCTCACACCGCAGCTCTGGGAGGCCGTGACTAACGTCCTCGTGCACTATAACGTCGTGGTCTGCTTACTTCAGCTAGATAACGTCCGTCACCAGGGCCGCCTTCTTCATGGGCCGCGCTCCCTCATTGAAGACGTCGGACAAGCACACGAGCGCGGCAGTGCCATAGAGGATGGAACTCATGGTCCCCGCGAGGCGCTCAGCCTCGCCGAAGCCGGAGAAGATGAGGCTCGCCCCCGCGGCAAACACGCCGGCAGAAACTTGCGCGCCGGGGTCCATGGCGAGGCTACCCAAGATGAACAAGGCGATGAGGCGGACGAGTCCGTCCAGCGCCCTGACTACGTCCTGCATCGTCAGCTGCATGAAAAAGAGTTGGAAAGCCCTTTTCTGGTAGACGAATGCAGCCTGTCCGTAGGCTTCGCTGAACGCTTGACGCTCCTCTGGAGTGTCGCACCTCCTTGTCTGGATGTGAGCAATTTGCGCTCCGGCGAGGGAGCCGTAACGGACGTTCCACTGCGTCTTCAGGATGGAGAGCTCAAGCAGCGGGCAGAGGTAAAACACGCCGGTCAGCGCCGCGGAGAGCAGTGCGACGAGGTGGGAGCACACATAGATGGAGACGATCTCGATGCCAAAGAAATCCCCCATCACGTAGCCGGAGACCAGCGATGCGAGCATGGACGTGGGAAACTGAACGAGCGTGAACAAGCCGCCCCAGAGGTTAAAGACAGTCTCGTGGACCATGACGTCGAGTGTCTGAGAACACGACGAGGGCGTGAGCCGCGCGGCCGCTCGCTTCGTCTTCGTGTCCTCCCGGCTGAACTTCCGCTGATTCGCCTCTGCATTGAGCTTGAGAAGCTGCCGCTGCAGGACGGTGCGTATGTTGGCCTTGACATTGTTCATTGGCAAGTTTTCCTGGTACTCCCAGTCGAGCCGTACCCGCAGCGCGGCGACGCCCGCCATGCTGCACAGCAAGAGGGCCAGCTTTGCATTATTTGAGATTCCGATGCCGCCCAGCGTGCTGCCCCAAACGGTGGGATCCGGCCTGCGAGATGGCGTGCCATTATCGCCCGCCGTGTCGTCAACCCGGCTCGTCTGCTGCACAGCTAAGATGGTGAACGACATCAGCGACGAAAAGACCACGGGCAGGACGCCCCCGATGATGTTGAGGAGCATCGAATATGGAGCGTCAAACTTGGAGATGGGCAGCTGCCAAACGAAGCGGCAGAAGCCCAACCAAAGCCGCGTGACGCCATCGGCGGCGGTTGTGCCGCACGGCCACGGTGTCTCACCGCGCCAGTCGGAAATCTCCTTTTGATGGGCGTCCTCCTGCACCTGAGCCGAAATCAGAGGCGACCAAGTGGTTCCGGTTCGCCAGACCTGCCGTCGAAGGAGCTGGTACCATCTCGTGTCGAATCGGCGCTCACGTTCGACAGCTTCTGGGAGCGAGTTGAGGATGACCGCTTCGCGCCCTTCCGCCCACCCGAGTGACTCCAGGGCATCTGTGTAGCGTGTGCCAACCTGAAAGTAAGCATTCACGTGAGATGGCACAAACGCAGACCAGCGGGAGAACGCAGACCTTTCGGTGCCACGGAACTGGTGGTAGTTGCTCATCCCTCGCCTGGCGCGTCCGTGCTCGAATGAAGTGGCGGCGCGTTCCCCCTCGGATGCCGTTTTTTCTCGGTTTAAAAAATTCGGCACGTCTCGCTGTTCTTCACCTTTCTACCTACCTACCTACGGCTTCCACTATTTCTTTTTTGAGAGCGCCTTCGTCGTTAATAAGAAAAAGGTGGCCACAGTCACACACACACGCACACACACACCGCAAGAAGAAAGAACTCTACACACCGCACCGCGCAGGGCGGCGGCGCAAAGTGGGTCTGCGTCTGGTGCGCCACACGGCCACAACCCTTGCCAGCCCTTGCCGCCGCCCTTGCCACCCTTTGCCGCCTTGCCCTACGCCGCGGGCGGCGGTGGGAGCGGCCTGCTGGGCTAGCATGTTGTCCTTGCTGGGGACGGGCACGTGGAACGCACGTTACATGTTCGAACGGCCACCGGGATTCAAACAAAAAATAGCCAAGGCCCTCTCGCAACCCCTCCGACCCCTGGGACCCGTGGGCGTCGAAGAGGCGCTCTCGGGGGGCCGTTCTGAGTTCATACTACCTCGAAGTACAATATGCTGCGTCAAAGCACCGGCCCTGAGTCCGCAATTCGATTGCAAAGCCCTCGAGGTTAACCTTTCTTGCCGGTCAGTTCCAGCCGTCTGGATAAATTGTCTGCCCAGCTAGCAACAAAGGGTGGATTATGGGAGGGGAAGCCTGGCCAAGCCAGCGCCTCGCCGCCTACGCGCCTCCAAGATCGCTGACACGACGCTCGGTACCCCCTGCCCAAATAAGCCCATCGTAGCTTCTGGGTGGGGGGGGGGTCTGGACACCCCCCAAAACCAAAACGAGATGCCAAAACGAGATTCAGACTGCTAGGGGGGGAGGGGCTGAACCCCCCAAGGGCACATGACCAGACTCGGGTTTACAACACACCGTCAAGGCTAGTTGTCATATATGTCAAGCAAGCCGGGCATCTCTGCCCGCCAAAGAGCACACAAGCAGCAAGCTCGGCACGCACGCACGCACTGCGCTCCTCAGAGCATGCTTAGCCCACCAGCGAGATTTTGCCGTCGCGGTACATGATGAAGTTGTCCTCGTCCTCGAGCGCTTCCAAGTGAAGCTCGGCGTCTGCCTTGGAGCTTGGTCCACCCGGTCCACTAACTCACACACCCGGGCACGCACTAACTCACAGTCCTGGTGTGTGTTGCAGGGACTCGCCACATGACAAGGTGCCGCCGTTGCCCGGAGCGACTGTCTCGCGCGGCGACAGCCTGCGTCTCCAAGGGCTCCATCTGTCGCAACGAATCGCGTCCTCCGCAGCCTCTGAGCCGGCCGGTCATACGACAAGTACCAAACGCCCGTCGAGCCCCTTTTGGCGCAAGTCCCGGGGACACCCCCGCCGCACCGTGCGGCGCACGCCGACCAAGTCGCGCCACGCGCGCCCTTTTGCGCCGTCCTCGCGCCGCGGGCTCCACGTCGGAGCCCACCCGGTCCACAGGAGCCCGCTCGGCACGCACGTGCCCGCTGCCCGGCCGTACCAGGGAGGCGGAAGTATGAAGTTTAGAAGAAGAATCAATATCCCGAAGGCACACGGAGAACCCGGGTGGCTACACAAACGCACGGCGAACGAGCACGCAAACCAAAACAAAACTGGCCGCAAGGCGGTCCACGCGGTGGGCGACCACCGTCTAGGGGCGGGCCTCATACCAAAAGTGCCCGCCGATGCCCTCGATGTCCGTCTGGCGCGGCACCTGCATGTCCCCCCCTCCCAAAGCCGGGGAAGTTTTGGAGGACGAAACGGTCCACACAGTGTGCGCGCGTCCAGAGCCGCGCCGCGACGGAGCTCACACCGCCTGCTGCGCGCGCTCCGCCGTGATGTCGACGACCAGCAGCCCGCTGACGGCCTGGCCCGCACCGCCTGCGCCGCCAGACGCTCCGATGGTACTGCCGCCTCACCAGTGGGCAGCCGACGGCGGCGAGCCTTGCGGGCCTTGCGAGCTGTGCGACGACCGGGGCCCGCCGCTGCTGCAGCGCGTGCTGGAGGGCCACTGCCTGCTCAGTGGTGATCTCGTCGCGCTGCAGTCGCTCGCGGCGCAGCGCGACCGCTACGATGGCACGCGTGGCTGCGTCGCGTGCAGCCCCCACCCCTCCGAGTGCCCTCTTGGGCCCTGCCGCCTGACACCTCTATCGGTGGAGGGCTTTAGGTCACGGTCCACACTCCCGCCCTCCCGACCCCTCCACACCCCTACAGCGGCACCCCTACCCCTCCCGCCGTTTTAGGGCCTCCTGACCCGCACTCGGGTCGCCGCGTGACACGGCCCACGCGCCACGGCCAGAGTGCAGAGAGCAGAGTGCAGTTCTGCAGAGACGGGGTCTGAGACACTGAGACGCACGCGCGACGGCCGACGCGGCTCGCGGGGGTCGCGGGACGGCGCGGGACCGGGCAATGGTTAGGTAGTAGGGCTAGAGGGTCGCTCTACACTTAGCCTCTACACAGAGCATGCGAGCGCTCTACTTAGCCCCCGCACGGAGCCCGGCTCCGACTTAGACGCTGTATGGTCGGATGCCATGAACTTAACCGACACATAGGCCAATTCCGGGTAAAACGCGACGGTATACCCTCACACTTCCAGCTTTACCCGAAAGAATACCTGCGGCGAAGCATCGGGCGCGGCGAAGCGGCGAGGTAAGGTAAGGTAAGGTAAACTTCTCCACACACACGAGGTGGTGGGGCAAGCTAGGGGGGGCAACCCTCGCGTCTCCACGTCTAACGACAGGAGCCCCGAAGCGGCGAAGCGGCGGGCGCGGCTGCCGATGGCAGTGCGGACGATGCGGTTGCGATGCCCACGTTCCTCTGCTTCAAGATCGAGGCGGTGGTTGGCATACACTTCTCTGCGATCCCGATCAGCTCATCGCAACGAAGCGGCGCAACAAGCAGTGTGGCCGCCGCCGACAAGGCCCTATGCTACCTCACGCGCGGATCGTTCAAAGAGGAGACAGGCACACACAGGCTTCTTTCACCGTCATGCGTTTTTGATTACGCTTGAGGAGCATGTGAGAACTGTTTGGCTAGACACGTCGCTCAAGAATGCTGTCGAGGCTGAGGCGGCGGTTGCTGTGAGCATGAGGATGGGATCGATCGGGATTAGAGGCGCCTGGCTGGCGCCGTACTGGGCTGGGTTTTTTAGGCATTGTGGGGTTGGCACTCCCATCGACCCTCATGACCTCCTGCGGTCCCTGAGATGGACACCAGTGGGTGTGGGACCACAGCCAGGATACACTCGAAGGCTGGGTAAGCAGTAGAGGTCGATACTCGACGCGTCCCACATGGTCTGTGTCGCTGTCGGCACGCTGTCGACAGGACGTCGAGCGACACCGGTGGCAGTGCCACCCAGGAGTGGTCGGGCGGTCTCCCGTCATGAGAGAGCCACCATGTGATCCGTATGATGATTCCTGACAACCGCCTCAGTCAACTTTCGTCACAGTTCCCGCTCTGAGAGGAGCTGCGGGTCAGTTCGACAGCTGGAGCTGTGTCGCCGGCGTGCGGCGGCCTGCCTCCGGAGGTGCCTCTGAGGCGGACATTTTTTGGTCACCGTGAGAGAACGCGTTCGAATTTTCACTCCGGAACTTCAACTCCGCACGCGCACCGGCCAGGGCTACAATAGTGCCAGTGAGGCGGAGGCGCGAGTCGGAAGGCCGCGACCGTCAAGTGTTCCCTGCAGTCGCTGTGAACCCAGCCACGTACCCCTGGCCGTGTGGCCGTGCCACGGCCGACTTAGCCGGCGTAAGAGGCTCGCACCGATCTTAGACCGCGTAAGCACTCCAGGACTCCAGCGAGCAGCGTGGCTAGCCACACTTAGACCCGTTAAGCCTCGAGGCTCAGAACTTAGACTACTCTGCCCAACCACCAACCAGTGACCGCAGACCGGGCGCGAGCGCCGAGCGCCGTCCCGCGCTTTCCGCCGGCGCCCCCCCGGGTCTGCCCTGCCCTCGCGGCACGGCGAGGCTCGCCGAAAAAAAAGATGGCCAGCGCGTTGACCAGTCCGAGCCTGACTGTTCTTCGCCTTCCTATTCAATCTATCTCGTTTAGAACACTTAGACGAACGGCTCAAGAAACAACAACAACAAACCCGCATGTCATCCTGGTGCGGTGGCTGGCACCCCAGCCTCGGAGTGCTCGGGGCGGCCCGCCCCTGGCAAAAGGCCCTCGGCAGCGCCGCCCCCCAAGGCCGCCGCCGCTCGCTCCCTCGCGCCACGGACATAGAACGCCAGCCCCAGGAGGAGGATGCCAAAGCCGCCCAGCTCGAGGCACGACTGCGGGCCGGCCCACGGCTCGCCGTACCGCCCTCTGCTCAGCGTCCAGGCGGCAAGCTCGACCGCCCACACCAGCGCGGGCCGCGCGATCTCGACAAACACCCGCAGGACCGAGCCGTGCCTCAGGCCGATGCTCATGCTCAGCGGGTTGAGCGCGGCCAGGCTGAGCCAGTTGACGCCGACCAGCGCGCAGAGCGTCGGGCTCCGGCCGAGGCTTCGCAGCGTGTCGCCGACGTCCTCGACCCGCCCGTGGTCTGAGCCGGGGAGGGCATGCGCCAGCGGGAGGACGAGCGCGGCGCAGAGCGCGCTCTCGATGGCGCCCTCCGCACCGACCTGCAGCAGCGGCGAGAAGCGGCCCGCCTTCATGTAGCGCTCCTCAAAGGCGAACTGCGCCGACTGCAGCGCCCGCGCAGCCAGCGCCAAGAGCACCCCGAGCGGCGCCGTCCCGCTCGGCGCCGCCTCGCCGCGCAGTAGCGAGGCGGCGCCCACGAGGATCACGCCAGCGGCGGCGGCCAGGATGCCTCCCCACTCCGTGCGCGAGTAGCGCGAGCCCAAGATGGCGCGCGTGGCCATGGCACTAAAGACGAGCATCGAGCAATTGACCAGGCTAACCAGGCTGGCCGGGGCGAGCAGCACCGACCGGCAGTCGCAGATGCCGACGAGCAGGTCGCTAGCCGCGAGCGGCAGCAGTGGAAGGTAGCACTCGACCGTGCCTGCCGCGGCACGCGGCCGGTGCTGCCACGAGCCGAGCAGGGAGGTCGCTATCGCTGTCCCGACGACGAGCTCCATGAAGAAGGGCTTTGCAAAGGACTCACCCCCAACGCTGGTTTCGAAGGCGGCTTTGGTGGTGAGGGTGCAGAGTGCGCCGGCAATCACGGCGGCGACGCAGAGGACTCCCAGGCGCATGTGCGCGTTCGCTCGGCTGTGTGCGCACCCAGTCCCGCACTCAGGGGCGCAGTGAGTCTGTAAGCTTCACCCCGGTGGTGTGGCGTCAACGCGGTGGTGTGGCGGCCAAGTATCCCCGCCGAATTTCTTTTTGTTGAGTCTCCCACGGCTCGCCGAGCCAAAGAGAAACAAGAACATTCCGGCAACGTATGGTTCTTGCACGTGTGCAAGATTGGGCGTCTTCTGCAGCAGTCCCTTTGATGGGAGGCCCCAGGGTGGGGGCCACCTCGAACCCCCGGCCAGGGATTCGAGCGGAGGGTGCCCCGGATTCATCTATCCGTTGGGCCCCGGTACATTCATTAGAACTGATCACTTTGCGCAGCAGCCGTCGTCCCTTCGCCGACTGGACGGCAGTGCGCTGCGTTGTCGCTCTGTCGTGCACGCTCTCGTGCCTCGTTGTTGTGACCCACCCTGTCCCACCCGTGTGTGATCAGTGTCTACGGAGGGAGTGTCTTTGGCTCACGCCAGGGCGCTCGTTGCTCCTCCGTCTCTTTGTATCTTCCATACTGCGTTTATCAGAAGACTTGTAACGAATCATCCAACCGCAATCATCACGCGCGTGCCCCCCGTTGAGGCATATGGGCAACAAGAAGAAGGAGCGCGCGGCCAACCGGAAGAAAGCGACCCCTCCGGCCGATTCCTTGCGCAGTGATGCGATTGCAACCGATGCCGTGGGCCTCGCTCTCGTGCAGAGGAAGGCGGGCAGCAAGTGGGTCTTCACGAGCCGTGACCCATCGGCGCCGCCGCTCGCGGGGATGAGCACTCTCCTGCAGGCTCTCCTTTGCCGCCAGGCTCGCGCCGCCAGACTCGTACTGGTGGTGGATCACTGACCAGGCGCTCGATGACATCGCAAGGCAGCTTCACGACAGCAACCACTGTGTCGTGGACGGAATGCTCGGCGAGTCAAGGTGCGCTGCGCTTCAGAGGGAGGTTTGCGCGCTTCGACAGGCGGGAAGGCTCAAGGCATCGCGGCTCGCGGGCGGAAGGAGCGGCGCCATGACATCGTACACGCACAGTGCCGTGCGCGGCGACCTTGTCAGCTGGTTTAACGGCGAAGAGGCCGAGCTGTGGAGCGAGGGCGCGCTGCCCTCCTACCTTCTCCGCGTGGATACTCTCATTGATCAGCTCAAGCCGAGGCTCCAACAGCTGCAGGGCATCACTGGAAGGTCCAACGCTATGGTGGCGTGCTATCCGGGCGGGGGCGCGCGATACGTCCGCCACTGCGACAACTCCTGCGACGCAGGGAGCGGCAACCGGTGCAATGGTCGCCGCCTCACCGCGATTCTGTACCTCAATTGCGACTGGCAGCCGGGAGATGGAGGCGAGCTGCGCCTGTTCGAGCCCTTTGCGCCTCCAGGCCGGCCACCTCTGGCCGATGTGCAGCCCCTTGCGGACCGAGAGTATCTGCGTGTAGCGACACACAAAAGACAAGACGCGCGAACTGACTCTACGCAACCTAACGGCTCTAGCCTAAATCTACTGTGGGTACTTCACACCTGAGACCTGTTCCTATCTCTTACCTACCTACCCTGAACCTGGACCTGGACCTGGACCTACATACTTGTCCTATTCATCTGCAATGGTGCTATGACGCTATCTCCAGACGAGAGCGTGGCAGCCGCCTCAGCCACTTGTGCCAGCATCTCACCCCTCTGCACATCGTCGCCTAACTCGTGCTGCGGCGCCGACCGCCCGAGTCGGGGGTGAAGATGGCCGGCTTCCCCTTCTCGACAGCCTCAGGCGGCGGGTGACGGGGCTAGGAAGCAGCCCACACCCGACCCGTCGCTCGAACGACTTCGACGCCTGCGCAGGGGCCGCAGGGCGGTCAGTGGTGAGGCGAGGCGGAGCCGGCCGCGCCGGGTGCAAGGCGTTGTGAATGCCATGTGCGTAAGGCCGGGACGGAGGGGGCGCGCGGCGGGGGTCGGGGTTGGGGGGGGGGGGGGGGGGCTCACCCAGTCCGGCGTAGCCTTGCGAAGATGCGCAGTGCGGTGACCCACTGAAATGGCAACTCGTCGGAGCTTCCGGGGTGACATCTAGGGGTCCCTGAACGTTTCCGCAGGCGAAAGGACAAGACGCATTTTAAAATTATCTGGCGGCCGGGGTTGGGCGCGCGCGGGGGCGGCGGGTGTGCGGGATGTCTGTGGGCCCGAGAGCGATGCGTCATGTGTGTGTCCGCCTTGCGTTTGTTTCATAACATCGAAGGCTAGCTCAAAAAAATTATTCGCCATTAGGTGTCTTCTGATAATCGCAGTATGGAAGATACAAAGAGACGGAGGAGCAACGAGCGCTCTGGCGTGAGCCAAAGATGACGGCGCCCTCGCAAAATTCTTTTCTTCGCACGACATGCAGAAGCAGCGCATCTCATTCTTCACACGGCCATCGCAGAGCAGATTGTGAATGAGCTTGCCTGCGGCGAGGGCGGTCGAGTGCACGGAGCTAAGTGCCTCGCCGTCCTCGCAGGAGTCGCTTAGGCGGCTCCCGTGGTGTACCTGTGTTAGTGCCAGTGCGCGCCAGTCCCGTGCCTAGTGTCGTGCGAGGGAGGTTTCTAAAATTCTCGTGTCGCCCTTGGAGCACTTGGAAAAAGAAAGCAAGAAAACAGACAACCCAAGGGAGGGATGGGAGAACGGCACGCCGCCACCACACAGGGATTTTAAGGAGAGGAGTGTGATGCGCTAGCCGTCGCCCTTGGAGTGCAGTCATCAAGCTGTTTGTAAATTCTTTTTCCCAGTCCTGTGCCCAGTGTTGTGCGAGGGAGTTTTGTTGTAAAATTCTTTTTCTCGCGATGTCCACCCCGCCGCGCCGCCGCTCGCGCCGCCTCGCCTCCGCCACCACCGCCGCCCCCTCGCCACGCACGCCGCCGCCCACCCGCCTCCTCGACCTCCCCAGGGAGCTCCTCGAGCGCGCCCTCTCTCGCTGCGACAGCCCCCTCGACATCGCTCGCGTCGCGGCCGTCTCGCTGCCCTTCCACTCGCTCGCGGAGCAGGGCATCCGCTTGTGGGCGCAAGAGCGCGGCTTCGAGCTGCCAGCGCAGCCCGAGGGCGAGAGCTGCGCCGTGCGGTGGCTGTGCTATTCTGCGCTGCTTCGCGCGGCCAACCCGCCGGCGAGGGTGGCGGCAGGCAATATGCACAGCGTCTTCATCGACGGCGAGGGGCGGCTCTCGTCGTGCGGATCAGCGGCAACGGAGGGCGAGGAGGAGGACGAGGAGGACGTGGAGGCATTACCAGGGCTACTCGGCCACGGCGAGGGCGTGACGCGGCTCAACACACCGACCCGCCTCTCCTCTACGCTGGGCGACGAGTGCGCCGTGAGCGTCTCGGCTGGAGATGGCCACAGCCTCGCCCTGACCGCCGACGGCGCTGTCTGGAGCTGGGGCGGTGGAGGCTTAGGCAAGCTGGGCCACGGCGACACGCAGGACCAGCTCCTGCCCAAGAAGGTCGAGGCCTTGGCTGGCCAGCGCGTCATTGCTGTGTCGGCTGGAGGCTACCACAGCCTCGCCATCACCGCCGACGGATCTGTGTGGAGCTGGGGCTATGGAGGCCGTGGCCGGTTGGGCCACGGCGACGAGCAGCGCCAGCTGCTGCCGAAGAAGGTCGAGGCCTTCGGGGGGCACCGCGTCGTTGCTGTGTCGGCTGGAGCCAGTCACAGCCTCGCTCTCACTGCCGACGGCAGCCTCTGGAGTTGCGGCCGTGGACAAGATGGCCGTTTGGGCCACGGCGATCGGGAGGACCAGCTGCTGCCGAAGAAGATCCAGGCCTTGGTAGGGCAGCGCGTCGTCACCGTGTCGGCTGGGTGGCAGCACGTCCTTGCCATCACCGCCGACGGCTCCGTCTGGAGCTGGGGCGGTGGAGGCTTTGACCGGCTGGGCCACGGCGACGAGCAGGACCAGCTGCTGCCGAAGAAGGTCGAGGCCTTGGCGGGGCGGCGCGTCGTCGCCGTGTCGGCGGGAGGCTTCCACAGCCTCGCCCTCACCGCCGACGGCAGTGTCTGGAGCTGGGGCTGGGGATACTCTGGCCGGTTGGGCCACGGCGACGAGCAGAACCGGCCGCTGCCAAAGAAGATCGAGGCCTTTGCTGGCCAGCGCGTCGTCGCTCTGTCGGCGGAAGGTGAAAAAAGTTTCGCCATCGCCGCCTACGGCGCCGTCTTTACGTGGGGCGAGGGCGACTACGGCTGCCTAGGCCACGGAGAGGACCTGTCGAACCAGCTGCTGCCCAAGAAGGTCGAGGAGTGGGCGCTGGGGTAGTGAGGTACTGGGGGCTCTATGGGTATGCGCCCCGGCCGGGCGTTTAGTGGCTCAGCTGCAGCGCGTTGCCCGCCCGCGCGGTGAGACGGGCTGTGTGAGCGTGCGTCGGGAGAGCGTTACAGACTGCTGCGAGACAGGGGTGTTGATACTCCCAACTGCGCTCCGTCACCGGCGTCGCGGTCTCCCCCCACTGAGGGCGATCGGCGGGGGGGGAGTCGCGCCGCCGGCACGTATCTGTGTACTGGATGGCGGCCACTCGGGCGACGCTCGCGAGGTAGACGAGCGCCGCAGCGGGCCGCATCAGCGAGAGAGAGAGAGAGAGAGCGACTCAAGGATACAGGGCGCTTCGCCCTCCAGGGGGGGCTTCAACCCTCGCGCAGGGGAATGTTTCATGTCGGACAGAGGCTCAAGAGAGCCGCGGGGGTTGCGCTGCGAACACCGCCTTCCCGCCCTCTCGATCCGTCTCCGCCCCGGGGCATACTCGCATACACACAGTACTCTCCGAGCCATCCTCGATCCCGTCCGCGCGTGTCTCCCGATCCGCCGGAAGCCCGCCATTCTACTCTAGAGTTATTAGCCGCCGCGCGTGGGGCACCGCTGCAGCCGGCGCCGCCCTCGCGCCAGCGAGACCGCCTGCCTGCGCCGGCCCTCGATCGACGCCACACGGCTCAGATGTCCCCGATAAGAGCGGCCACGGCTGCCTAAAGCCGTGGGGGGGCAATCCATGGGGGAGCTGTTGTTCCCGCCCGCCACCTTGTGGGCTACCTCTCGCCCATCTCCCCGTTTGTGGCTACATTTCTCGGCTGCAGCTGTAGGTCGCCTCTTTGTTCCCCGCCGCCGCCTTGAGGGCGTTTCTGCACTGCTCCTCCGGGAAGCCCATCTCGACCTGCGGCGTTGAGAGAAGCGTGTTGGCGTCGCACTCGCGTGTGCTCGACGGCGCCACCAACTCTCATCTAGGCCGCATCTCGGCCGCATCTCGGCTGTGTCTCGGCTATCCCGCGCCATCTCCGCGATGGTGTCGGCTTCACATTTGCTCTCGACAGCGTACGTCTCGGTCCAGAACTTTGCCTTCTGCTGGAACGCCTGAGGTCGAGATGAGGCCGAAGTGTGGCCGGGCCGAGACGTGGCCGAGACGCGGCCGCTCTGCTGGAACGCCTGCTGCTGGTCCTTGTACTGCTTCGCTACCTCGGCGTCCTGTGTGGACGCGTCGAGCGACAGTCGGGAGTCCACTCGTTTGCCCGGGCACAGGGCAGAAACATGTCCATGTCGAGGGATGTGGCGAAGGTGCGAGCGAGGGGGGGGGGGGGCGTCCCGCAGTGTCGGGCTTGCCTGCGGGTCGTCAGGCTCCGGCGCCGACAGCAGCGCTTGCAGCGAGATGAGAGCCGTCCGTATGGTGAGCGCGGGCTGTCGGACATGGCGCGGAGGGCGGGAGCTCGTGAGCTCGTGAGCTGGTCGTGGCGGGGGCGTGCAGCGGGCGCGGCAGCGCGAGGGCCCTGTGCGAGTGGGGGCGGCAGCGGCGGCGAGGGAGCGTCTCGGAAGTGCCTCGCACCGACCACTCGTTCTTGAGTATGGGAAGTGTCTAGGAAGTGTCTAGGAAGTGTCTCGGAAGTGCCTCGCACCGACCACTCGTTCTTGAGTATGTCTAGGAAGTGTCTAGGAAGTGTCTCGGAAGTGCGGAAGCACCGACCACTCGTTCTTGAGTATGTCGAGGCAGATGGCGCCGCTCTGCGAGGAGACATTGGGGTGCCATACCCTGGTGCGAAACTTCATCTTTGGCGGCACGAAGGGGTAGTCGCTAGGCAAGCTGATGTCCACGATGAAGACCCCGCCTGCGGAAAGGAGACATTGGGCTGCGGGGCACGCTCTCACAGTCACGCAAACGACGTGTTCTGCCGCGTGGGAGTTTGTTTTGCCGGTGGCGGCGACTCGCGCGGGCGGGGAGAAGGTGGGGGGGGGCGGGGGGCGAGGAGAGGGGAGGGGAGGGGATCGTGAGGGGAGAGGATCGTGAGGGGAGAGGAGAAGGGGGGGGGGGGGGGCGGAAAAAAAGGCCCCAGAAAAAGGTCCTGGAGAGAGAGAGAGAGAGAGAGAGAGAGAGAGAGAGAGAGAGGGAGGGAGAGAGAGAGGGAGAGAGAGGGAGAGAGAGGAGCTGCTCCAGAGCCGACCGCGCGGCCGCTTTAGCGATGGGCACTCCGGCAGCACGGCCCCGGCCCCGTTCTCCCGCGTGGGTTGGTGTGTGTGTGTAGCGGTAGCGGTGGTGGCAGCGGTGGTCGGCGCTCGCACCCTCGTACGGCGTCCCAACCGGCCCCTTGAGCTTTCCAATCCACTCGAGCAGGTTCGCCTCCGAGACGAGAGAGGCCCACACCACCTCCTTCTCCATCAGCGCGTCCTTGCTGCACTCCTTGAGCTCCTGTGTCCGAACGAAACGCGCCGCTCAGCACCGGCGCCCGCGCGGGAGGAGGCTTGCATGCGCAAGCGGCGCGGGTGCTCTGAACCTTCTTGATGCGATTGACATCAGACATCGTAGAGACAGCCACGCCCGCCGGCGGTGCGGGCGGAAGACTGGGCTTCGGAGAGAAGAACAACGGCGGCTTCAGCAGCAAGGGTTCGGGCTCCTCGGTGTGAGGGCCGCGGAGCTGGTCTTCTTGCGGAAATAAAACGCGAGAAAACGCTCAAACGCGTCACTACGTGCCTCCCCGTCTTTGTAGCCTGGCGTTTGTGCCCCGTTTGTGCCGCGTCCCGTGCCCCCGAGTTCATTTCATAACAATAAACACCTCACTCTCAAAATGAAAAGAAACGCGCGGTTGGAAAAGGCTAAGCTCAAAAGAAAAAGACCGGTTGTCAGAGCCAGCAGCAGGTGGGCTACCCGACATCCTCCTCCCTCTCCCCCCTCTCCCTCCGCACGCGCTCCCGCCGCCACACGTTTGCGCGTTCCCCGGCGTTCTCCGGGGCCGCACCCACATCTTCCCCTCCGGCCACGCTTTGTCAACCCACTGCGCCCGTGCGCGCGCTCGCGATGAAAGCCTCGGCCGTGAGTTTCCATGCCATCCGCGGGCCCCGGGAGAACTTGCACCCTATGCGCCCACTCCTACTCCGCGACCGCATCGAGCCTGGCGAAGCGCACCCGCGCACACACGCCTCTCGGGGGGGGCTGCCTCGCGCCTGCCGTGTCCGCTCAGCCGCCGCATTTTGCGTCCACCCCACCACCCCGTCCTGCACGACGTCGCCCCGCCCTCGCCTGCCCTCTCTCCCCGCCCCTCGCCCACCGCCCCCACCCCGCCTCCCCTCTCGCCCCCGCAGCTCCGCCGCCATGTCGTCCAAGGTCAAGGGTGATGCCGCCAAGCTCAAGGCCAAGAAGTCCGTCTCGCGCTCCTCCAAGGCGGGCCTCCAGTTCCCGGTCGGCCGGATCCACCGCCACCTCAAGCAGCGGGTGACCAACAAGGGGCGCGTCGGTGCGACCGCGGCCGTCTACTCCGCCGCCATCCTCGAGTACCTCACCGCCGAGGTGCTCGAGCTCGCCGGCAACGCGTCCAAGGCCGGCGCCTCCCTCGCAACCTCCACCCCCCCCCCCCCCCCAGTCGCCGCCGCCGCCGCCCGCCCGCCCGCCCGCCCGCCCCTCCGTCCGTGGCCCCCGTCCCGACCCAACCGCGCGGCCACCCCCGCCCCCACCGCCCGCCTCGCCGCGGCTCGCCAGCACCGCCAGCTCCAACCGCGCCGCCAGCTCCCAACCGCCAAACCCTGAGCCCGCCGCCTCCTCGCCGCCTCCGCCCGCAGGACCTGCGCGTCAAGCGGATCACGCCGCGCCACCTCCAGCTGGCCATCCGCGGCGACGAGGAGCTCGACACGCTGATCAAGGCGACCATCGCCGGCGGCGGCGTCATCCCGCACATCCACAAGTCGCTCCTCAAGAAGAAGTCGGCCAAGGACTGAGCACACCAACAGCCGCAGCCCCCGCCGAACTCCCTCCCCCCGGTGGTGGGGGGTGGGGGGGGGGGGGTCTACGTTCTGGCTCGGCAGGGCGGGGTGAGGGCGCAGCTACACGCACGGTTTCGTAGTCCCGGCTATTGAGGCGCCACGGCGCACGCACTGCTTCGAGACGGCTGCCGGGGTCGTTCATGTGAGGCTGTACCACCCCGCCCCTCATCAGTCCTCCCCCCTCCTCTCCTCACACTCTGCTCTTTGGCATGTCTGGGCATGTGCGTGTATTTGACCCTCCGATCAGCAAGCCACCGACACTGTGTTCTCCCCTTGCATTGGGTAGCTACCACCCCTAACGTTAAGAGCTGAACAGTGAGTGACAGTGTTGCTAGTGTTAACAGTAACAATAGAAAAACATTCGGGCTGTGTGCCCGTCTTTGACCGGAGTGAAAAGTCCAACGCGCTCGTCGGTGACGGTGTCCCCCAACCTGCGCCGCGCTCGGCGAGCCTCGACAGCGCTTTCGGTGGCATGCAGCTCTTTGCGACAGAAGCCTGGAGAGCAGCTCCTCTGCTGCTCACACACTCTGCAGAGTTGACACAGCCTACTGTGCGGTTGCCACAGCTGTCACAGCGATGGGCTCGCCCTCACTGGCCCTCAGTCACTTGTGCTGCGGCTTGTGTGAGCGACACTGCTCGGCGACTGCATAGATGGGCCCAGGTAGGAGGCTCCACGCCACCTGAATCGCGTCGTGCCACCTGAAAGCCACAAAATGCCGGATTTTGCACGAGACACACGCGGAAAGCGCCACGTGCCTCCACGAGTCCTTTGCAGCTTTTTGCACAAAATGCAGGTGGCTTTAGCCACTTGCTCCATGAGCAAAACAGTGCAAAAAGCACCTGGAGCAGATGGCTTACGCCGCCTGTGGACAAGGACAAAACAGTGCAAAAAGCACCTGGAGCAGATGGCTTACGCCGCCTGTGGACATGGGCAAAACAGTGCAAAAAGCACCTGGAGCAGATGGCTTACGCCGCCTGTGGCCATGGGCAAACAGTGCAAAAAGCACCTGGAGCAGATTCCAAACGCCGCCTGTGGCCATGTGACCGCTCGGGTGGCGCCAGGTGGCTTCGCCCCCCTCCAAGCCACCTGCCCCCCTCGCCACACCTGCCTGGAGGGCTGGAGCACGTGCGCCACCTGGGCCCGGGCAGGTGGCTCCAGGTGGCTTCGGCCCCTCTAAGCCACCTGCATGCCCCCCCTCGCCACACCTGGAGGGCTGGAGCACGTGCGCCACCTGGGCGTCACTTCGGGAATTTCATCGTGCGTGTTCTTTTGAATAGGAATGTACTATACACCGCCTCGGCACCACGAGCCGCCCCCGCCGCGCCTCCACAATCCACTCTCGCAACTCTACCGCGCAGCCAGCACACGACGTCGGCGAGGCCGACAAAGCTCTGCATGGCCTGGTTTATCGGGGATCGAGTGATGGCGTATTATCGGGCAGTCTTCTCATTGGCGAGTCAGACTGCTCAGCGTCGGCAGCAACGGCGCGTGAGCAGCGCAGCCACCGGCTCCTGCGGCGTTTGCAGCCACACCAAACGCCCGCGCGGGCCGGGTTGAAGCCCCAGGCTTATGTCGACGCCGGACATTGATTGTAGCCGCCGATGACCGCCGCAGGCCCTCTTTCACACACCCCACAGTCCCAGTTTGCAGCGCGGGGAGGAGCGGGGAGGCTCGCGTTTGGCAGGCCAGCCCTTCCGTGGCTCGGATTTTCCGTTTCCGAATTCAAACTTGCGCCAGGTGGCGCACGTGCTCCGGCCCTCCAGGTGTGGCGAGGGGGGGCATGCAGGTGGCTTGGAGGGGCCGAAGCCACCTGGCGCCACCTGCCCACCCATCAGGCCCAGGTGGCGCACGTGCTCCAGCCCTCCACGTGTGGCGAGGGGGGCGGGGCAGGTGGCTTGGAGGGGTCGAAGCCACCTGGAGCCACCTGCCCAGGCCCAGGTGGCGCACGTGCTCCAGCCCTCCTCGTGTGGCGAGGGAGGGGGGGCAGGTGGCTTGGAGGGGGCTGAAGCCACCTGTTGCCACCTGCCCAGGCCCAGGTGGCGCACGTGCTCCAGCCCTCCACGTGTGGCGAGGGGGGCGGGGCAGGTGGCTTGGAGGGGGCCGAAGCCCTTGGCGCCACCCGAGCGCATCACATGGCCACAGGCGGCGTTTGGAATCTACTCCAGGTGCTTTTTGCACTGTTTTGCCCATGGCCACAGGCGGCGTAAGCCGTCTGCTCCAGGTGCTTTTTGCACTGTTTTGCCCATGTCCACAGGCGGCGTAAGCCATCTGCTCCAGGTGCTTTTTGCACTGTTTTGCCCATGTCCACAGGCGGCGTAAGCCATCTGCTCCAGGTGCTTTTTGCACTGTTTTGCTCATGGAGCAAGTGGCTAAAGCCACCTGCATTTTTGTGCAAAAGGCTCTAAAATGGCCGAAATCCCTGTTGGCGCACGTGGCGATTGCCACGTGTGCCTCGGCTAAGAGGCCTCTCCAGGCGAGAGTCAGGTGGCACGACGCGAGTCAGGTGGCGTGGAGCCTCCTACCTGGGCCCATCTCTCGGCGACTGCCGGCACACTGTAAGCCCATGGGTGTGAGGTCAAACCACGCTGTACCTACCAGCGCTTGGTCACATCGGCCCCGAGGTCAGATCCATCTACTCTGTTGATGACAAGACTTGTCTACTGGCTGGAGCCGAGCAGGAGGGCCCGGCGCACAACCCCCTGGTCAACTCACCCCCTCCACACCCCGTACCAAAAACGCTGTCACGGCCAGCTCGGCACTATCTACTCAAAATAAGTTTTTGTGAGGGTTGCCCGGCCGCGGGTTGCTGCGCAAAAGCTTTTATGTGCGCGGGTTCGCGCTGCGCTAGGCTCAGAGCGAGTTCGCGCTGCGCTAGGCTCAGACGGCGAGTTCGCGCTGGCTAGCTAGGTAGGAGAGAGAGTTTGTTTGTGTTGCTAGGTAGGTAGGTAGAGGGTGAGCCGTCGCGATTTCTTGTTGGTTTTCAAAACTCTCTCTCTCTCAAGCTGAAGATGTTCACGGGCCCTCACACGAAGGTGGGGAGCCCCGGGTGGGTCTCTTTAGGTTTATTTAGCTGTACTCGAACTCGGTCTAGGCAGGGTTTGCTTGCTCGTTCGTCGTTGCTGGAAATTAAGACAACAACAAACGCTAACCTCTTTCTGGCCGCGTCGTCCCTCCCCTGGCCGATGTTCTGCATTCCTCTTTTACGTACATAAAAGTTCGACGGATCACAGGACACAGCTAGACCCCAGCTGGGTTCCACGAGGCCTGACAGCCGGCGAGAGCTTGCGCTGCCGGATAGTCGAAGAAGGCCGATAGCGCTTGCCTCTCCGGCTCCGCGCCCTGCCGCGGTGACGCTGCCGGCTGCGACGCCGCGGCTGCGCTTGCCTCTCCCGCTTCCTCTCTGGCCCTCTCGCCCTCCTCCCACAAACGCGCTACCGCTGCCGGGTCGTACCGCTCGTCTCTCCGTCCGCGCCTCTCTCGCTCTGCGGCCATCCACGGCTCATCTTGCGCGCGCGGGTGGAAGGGCCCCCAATAGTAGCCGCCACAGTCGTCCGTCATAATTGTTAGTCGGAGAATTTCGCGAATCCTCGGCACAGCCTCGAGCGCCTCGAGGCGGTCGTTGCTGCTGTCGAACCGGAGGCGGATGTAGCTCTTGGCCGAGCCTGCGCAACAACAGGAAAGGAGCGTCGGAAGGGGCGGGTCGCGTGTGCTGGCGCGCTGGTCGCATAGCGGAGTGCCGCGCACCGGGCTGGGAGAAGGGGTCGTAGTGGTCGGCGATGGACGTGCCGATTGAAGTGGTCGGCGACGTCCTGGGAGCAAAACGGCACAACTCCCAGGAAAGGTCGTAGCCTCGCAAGTCCAACGGCACGTCCACAAAGCCGCGCAGGGAGAGGTCGAAGTCGATGTCGCTCGCGGACGCGGAGCAGAGACTTGCAGTCCTCAGCTTCAGCGTCCACGAGGGCCACGGGAAGCAGTGAGACGAGTGGGATTCCGGCATGGAGAAGGTCCATCGAATCTCGTCCCGCTCAAAGGTCACGATCCCGGCGCCGAACTCCAACGTTCCGAGGGCAATCTCGCTGCAGTGCTTCCGGACCGGCCGGTCCCAAACGGTATCGGGCCCAAACCTCCAGCGGGGGAGCCCGGGCGGCGGCCCTGGCCGTGGGAGGAGCTGCAGCTTCTCGAGCTCGCTCGAGAGCGACTCAGAGCGCTGCCCCTCTGCGCGCAGCCGCTGCACCTCTGCGTGCAGCCGCTGCACCTCCTCGCGCAGCTGCTGCCCCTCATCGCGCAGCCCGGCCGGCTCGCCAGCCGCATCTCCAGCTCCAGCCGCAAGCGGGCCGCCGCCGCTCGCCTCGCCGCCGCTCGGCTCGCCAGCCGCATCTCCAGCTCCAGCGGCAGGCGGGCCGCCGCCGCTCGCCTCGCCGCCGCCGCTCGCCTCGACGCCGCTCGGCTCGCCAGCCGCGTCCCGAGAGGGCTGCGGCACTGCGAAGACGCGCTGCCGCTTAGCCGGGTCTGCCGCCCACTCTAGCTGCTCGTCCCAGAAGAGCACCGCCCCCTTCGTGACGCCGCAGTCGGCAGCCGCCTGCTCTGCGGAGCTCGCGTCGCCCGCTCGAAAGCGGACGGCGGCGGTGAGTGCGGGCTCGAAGCAGTCCAAGAACGGCCGCGAGCCGTTGACGTCGCCGCCGTTTCCGCGACGCCGAGGCAGCTTCGCCTCTACGAGAGCGCGGCGCGACTGCGTGACCAGCTCGGCGTACCGCTCTCGCAGCGCAGCCTGCTCCGCAGTCGGTCCGACGGGGCCAAAATGCAGCACGCCGCACTCAAGCAGCCTCCGCACCGCAGGCAGCCACTTTGTGACATGCCGCGTGTTTTTGTCAAGGGACCCGCGCCGACGGAGGATCGATCCGAGCGGCTCCTTAGTGCGCTCGTGCTCGAGCGCGGCATCGATACACTGTTGGGATGGGGAGCGGGCATGAGCAGTTTGATATGTGGCGGCGGGAGGTGTACGAGCGGGGCGGCAGAGCAGCAGCACACCGATGGCGTGTCCCTTCCAACCTTGACGGGGAGGCCGTCTGGAATCTCCCCCTCAGCGTCCAACTGCTGCAGCAAATTTGCAGCGTGCTGCTGAAGTAGGTCCGGAAGCGACTCGTCGGGAGATTCAGCGGCGGCGGGCGTCACGTCGAATCGGGCGGGCGCCGCAGTGGCGAGGGTGGCGCTGGCGTCCGACGGCTGCGGCGAGGATGTGGCGCCGAGCGCGCAGCTCTCCTCATCGTCGATCTGCATTCGGCTCTCCTCCTCGTGCTCGATCTGCATCCGCACCGCTCACGTCTTTGCTGTGCCGCTTGCTCGCTAGGTGTGCGGGTCT